AAGCTCCCCATTTACTTTACCCCGGGCCCCCAATTTTTACCTACTACCCCTCCATAACTTTTTTCCCCATTTTAGCATTAAACCCCCAACCACCTTTACTCTCACACTTGTTTTAAAAACTCCCCACGCATTCACTCACATTCCCAGAATCTCTCTCCTCTCCCTACACTTCTCTCTTCTCCAGGTGCATACACGCTTACTATAACCCACTTTCACATCCAATCTTTATTTACTCCACATAATCCTTGAATTTATGCATTTGTAGTCCCTCTTTTCCTGCCATACTTAATCCTTCAACATTATGCTACTCCTTCTTTAGCTCTAACTCTATTTAAAAACCCCTGACCTAATCCCATTTATTCCTCCCCCACTGAAACTCCCCACCCCCTTCAGCTTTGTTTCACTTAAGCCAGGACATCCATTTTTCTTCTCATTCATAACATCCACAATCATCTCTTTCTTATCTTTGCACAACATCCACGCACATTCAGACTTCCCACATTTGACAATTTTCTTCTTATTATTCTTTTAGTAATCTTTATAGAAAAGGGTTACTAGCCCATTGTTCCAGGCATTTTAGTTGACTTTTACAACACGCATGGCTACGGAGCAAAGATTCTTATTCCATTTCCCCCATGGATATAAAAGGAAAAGTAATAAGACCAGAACTATTAAGATAAAATCAAAGAAAACTCAGATGAATGTGTAAAATAAACGTGTACATGTATGTGTAGTGGACCTAAGTGTAAGTAAAAAGTAGCCCAAAACGTACCTGTAAAACTTGCATATTTTTGAGACAGAAAAAAGACACCAGCAATCCTACCATCATGTAAAACAATTACAGGCTTTCATTTTACACTATATATATAATTTTATATACATATATATATATAAAAATTTAAATTATATATATATATATATATATATATATATAATTTTTATATATATATAATATATATATATATATATATATATACAACAACCATATATATATCATATATATATATATATATATAATATAATAATATATATATATATAAAATATATATATATATATATATATATATATATAAAGTCGTGCCGAATAGGCAGAACTTGCCATCTTGGGTTAAATAGCAACGCTCATCTTGCCATATAGGACAAGCGAAAATTTGTGTATGCAATAATTCGCCAAAATCATTCTGAACCTAACGAAAGAAATATATTTTTACTGTGTTTGTTTAGTATTAAATTACTGTAAACAAAAACTAAAAATAATTTTTGTTGGGTAAGGCTAAAAAATCGTTCTTGTTATAATAATGTTAGGTAAGTTTTTCTAAGTTTCTTTTGGTGCAAATTAAAAAAAATTACATTAACATTAGAAAAAAAATATATCTTTAAACTTATTAGAGAAAATTTTGGAAAGGACATAATTTTTAAATGAGTTCTTGCTAATTGACCAGTTTTACATATTCGGGACGAACATATATAAAATAATATATAATATAATATATATATATAATTATAAAATATATATATATATATATATATATATATATAATATATAATATATAATATATATATATACAGTAGACCCTCAACCAGCGATATTTAAACCGTTCCTGAGAGCTCATCGTTTGTCCCAAAAAAATCTTTAGTCAAGTTAATTTTCCCCATAAGAAATAATGGAAATCAAATTAATCCGTGCAAGACACCCAAAAGTATTGAAAAAAAAAATTTACCACATGAAATATTAAATTTTAATACACACAAACTGAAGAAGACAGCAAAAGTTACAAAGACACTTACCTTTATTGAAGATCTGGTGAGATTGATGGGATGGGAGGAGGGGAGAGCGTTATCTTCTTACGTTTAAAGGGGAACCCCCCTTCCATTAGCACTTGAGGCGCAAGTCTTTTCTGGGTTTTTTTTCCTTTTTTTTTAATGCCACGGGACCAGTTTGAGAGTCACGGGGACTTCTGTCGCACAGCATATCTGTCCAAGAGGCCTTACCTCTCGTTCCTTTATGCTTTCCTAAAGTGGTTCACAACATTTCAGGTACAGGTTGCCAACACGGCTTGCAGTAGCTGTGTTGGGGTGATTATCATCCATAAAGCTTTGCCTTTAAGCCAATTGCACAATTTCCCTTAATTTTAAAATAGGAAATTTCCCTTAAATTTTTCTCTCTTCCCTCCCCAAAGCTTTTTCCTCAGGTCTGCCCTCTTCGTTAAAGATGATCTAGCACTCATCAGTGGTTATTTTTCACTTCCTCCACCACCAACTCTTAATCCTCCCCACTAACCTCCAACCCCAAGGACTTCCCCAATCCCACAATGGATTCCTCAACGGGCATGGGTTTTTCTCAGGGTTACCTAAAACCCTTTCCAAATCCCTTTTGTCTACACATTCTGGCCACATTTTTTTGAGATTAATGTCCTCTTAGTCACTTCCTCCCAAAGCCTTACCATAATGTTTCCCACAATTGAGGATGGAAAAAAATGATTTTTCCAAAAAACCTCTTAGAGTCATTATTTTCTGGGGTCACTAAAAGCATTTTTTCAAACATAGCTTTTGTGACATTTTTTAATTGGAAAAACCTGCTGCCAGGGGCTGCGGGAAAGAGGGGTATTAGGAGGCAAAAACTTCCCCTTTAATGAAGCTCTTTCCCAAAAGTCCCCTCTGCCACATCTGTGGGATACGGGGGCATTTTTTAAATACCGGGAGCATTTAAAGGGTCTAATTTTTTTTCAATTAGGAAAATTTTTTCACATGGGGGGCAAAGCATGGTGTAACCAGTCATAGAAAAAGCCCCCGTGACCCATACCTTTCTGTTTTCCCTCCCATCACACACAAATTAGCCTTTAGGGCATTTTTTTCCGAAAACCCTGGGGGGTTTTAGTTAACCAATAAAGGGTTCACTTTGCAATCACCCCTAGCATTTGGGAAACTCAACAAGAACCTGTCTTTTATAGCTTTTGTCCTGGGGGTGCCTTTCCTCCTGAGTAAGTAGGTCCGCTTGGAATTTTCTCCAAAAAAGGCCTGTTTCATCACAATTAAACACTTGTTCAGGTTTCATCCTTCACTGTCTATTACTCCTTTAAGTCCCCGCACATATTTTTCAGCCCCACCTGCCTTATCACATATGAATGCCCTACCTTCTTAAATCTCTCAAACCAACCTTTTTTGGCCTAAATTTACTCACATCACATTTGCTGGATTTTTTAATTAAATCGTCATGCAACTTCCCGCCTTTCACATATGATCGCTTGAGAGAGCTGTCTCCTGCTATCTTTTCTCGTTTATCCACACCAATAAAAATCTCTCAACACTTCTATCACTTGCGATCTCAGTTTCGAAAAAATGTTGCACCTTGGCAAGAACAGCTCCTTGATTGCCGTTTTCTTTCCCCCCAATAGTACGATGGTTGATGGGGTTTATAAAACAAAGACCACTCGAGATACGCACTCCCTTTCATATTTTTCAAGATCTTACTTCATCCCATAGTAATTTTCACCCTTTTTTCTGTAGGGTTTTCACTAGAAGCTTTCTTGGGGCCCCTGGTGACATATTTTGCAGGGGCAAACACTAAAAAAGGGTGTATAAAAAAAATGTTCCAGTTGTATGTTTTGAACGACCGCGCGGGAAAGAAAAATGTTTTCTCGGGTTTTTTAAACGCTAGTCGAGGCAAAATTTTTTATTTAATGAATCGTTTGTCAATTTATCGTTAATCTGCCACGCGGGTTTAAGGGCCACTGTATATAATACATATATGTCGTGCCCAATAGGGAGAACTTTCGATTTGGCTAAATAGCAACGCTCACTTGCCCTATAGGACAAATGAAAATTTGTGTATGCAATAATTTTGCCAAATCATTCTGAACCTAACGAAAAAAAAATTTTCCTTGTTTGTTTTTATTAAATTATTTTAAACGTTTTAAAATAATTTAGTTGGGTTATAAAAAAAATTGTTCTTGTTATAATAAGGTTGTTTAAATTTTCTAAGATTCTTTGAACAAAAATTTAAAAATTTTTACATTACCCTTTAAGAAAAAAATATTCTTAAACGTATAAGAAAAATTTTTTTGGGAAAGGGCTTAATTTTAAATGAGTTCTTGCTAAGACCAGTATATATATATATATATAATTTAAAAAATATATATATATTATATATAAAATTAATATAATATAAATATATATATATATATAATATATATACATATATATATAATATATATAATATATATAATATAAATATAAAT